TTGGCGACTGGATTGGTTTTCCGGGTAGAGTTGCTAGCCGTACGCCCAACCTTCCCTCTTTATCCTAGCTTAGGACCGGCTAGTAACTAGTGAACTAGTTAACTAGGCAAGGTTCACAAAGAAGGAGAGAATAAGGAATTTATAAAGCATCTCTCAAAGTTATGAAGTTACCTGAAATGACTATGTAAAATAAGTTGTGTTCGAAATGTTATCCAGTAAATGTAACTGTTCTTGAATTGTATGTGACATTTCTAATAAACAGACTAAAATGGAACTATAATATACCACAGTGTCCAAGTTTTACAGCTATATTGTCACACTAGAAACAAGTGTATGCTTAAATCATTTCTCAGTGAAACCGATCAGTTGACTAATAACTTGGCTGATTTCTTTACTAGGTAAATCTGCAGTACTTTCTTTTTAAAGTTGCATATCTGATAAGTTTAAAGGACCATAAGGTATTCTTCTGCAAATCAGTCAAGTGACTGAAAATATATGGTTAAAACTCATGGTTTCTAAAACCCTGATTTCACTTTTCTCGATGCTGTTTCATACTCTAGGTTAAAGTGTCTATTAAGTCGTTCAACAGTTCACAAAGGTAAACTTGATCTTAAAACATTAAAAACAATTTCTTCCTTGATTTAATATTGTTAGTGTGATGAAAAGATAAAGTTTATCTGGATGATGTGATGTATATGCGCAATTAGGTCCGAATAACCTGATTACATATATGCATGATAAATAAATAAGGATAACAGTTAAAAAATGGCTGGAAAAAAAATACAGCAATAGTAATTAAACAACATTAAGAATTCAGACGACAAGAAAGAAAGAATAACGTTTTGATAACGATCTTAAAAATAAATCCAAGATAAGTGTAATGATGGTGGTTTCAATTTCTTGATGACTGTCACGTATACCCCTATCCACGGAAGCCGTCAAGTAACGGCTGTATCTGTTATCCAACTGGTTTTAATTTGATCCTAAAATTTTCAAAACGGCTGAGTTTGACCATCTTCAACCAAATGTACTTTGAGCTCTTCGATTAACCGTCACTACTACAAATTAAAAATTCTTGTTCAGGAAACTAAAGCAAGAATAAACTTCTAAGGTATGGGCATCCGGATTGTGCAAAATTCCCTCACAACTCTTTCTGAACACAATTTCTACTCGAAACATTTGACTCCAATCTCTCATCACATCCACCTGTTGATATTTCCATATCATCTTTAATTTTTCCAATATTTCAGCCCTTGATAGCTATCTGAGTTCACGAAACAGCATCACTTGTCTCCTAAAATGGTTCTCCAAACTAAATGTCGGAGTTTTTAATGTCAAGTAAGACAACAAGCTTTGCTAGTCAAAACGATAGCATCTAGGGTCAGTATCGTTTGCTGTGTCTGGGAGACGCGCATACGGGAACAAAGTACAGTTATTCACTAAGCATCATCCGGCCAATTTGGGGAATCTGAGAAATTCATTTTGAGAATTTCTGGGGATACGATGTCTAGTTCTTGCAGTCATGTAGTGTGGGTATGGAATAAATGCCAAGAAAGATTATGATCTGCTGTGCAGAATCCCAGTTGACAGTCTACTCTATCCTTGTCCTATTGAACGACACAATAAGCACCAAAAAGAATAGTGAAACGCTGCTGTCGACCGCAGTTTGGATGAAGTGAAGGATGGGTTCTATCAAAAACTATTAAAAGTCAAGCTTGCAGACATGGTTGTTGCAGCAGGTGACTTCAGTGCACAATTCGATAGGCTATGTCAGACAGAAAAGAATTTAGGTGGCATTTTTTCAAAGACAGCCGGACGCACAAATAACAGTGGCCATCGGCTACAGCTGTGCTTAGACAATCGCTAATTTCGGATCAGCTCTAACCTTAAAACAGGCACCATCTGAGGTGGGCTATATCAATTTCAACTGAGCGGTGGACACAAATGGATCTAATTGTTATCAGTTTTCGCCTGAGAGGGTCGGTGGAAGATCGCCACTCCTTCTAAAGCACATGTTTGAACAGAAGCCATGCACTGGTTAAAGTACGTATATGTCTGTGCCTAAACGGATGTAAGAAAACTACAGCTGCATGACTATTCTAGATGCAGCTGGACGACAGAAATATTAAGAGTACTTTTGATGACAGACTGAGTAAGTAGTCACTGGAACAGAAAAACTCTCCCATTTAGAAAAAGCCTGTGGTCGAGTTTGCTAAATAAACATTATCAAGGATCATTAATGACCCTTAGAAGGAGGTTCGAAAATGTCAGCTTTTTTGAATTGATGAATATGCTTGAACACCTTCTCGCAAGGTTTGAAATCAGCAAGAATAAAGAGCAACTCAAGTTTGCAGTAGTAGAGAGTTTTTAGAAGGACCGTGAGCAGTACCAGAAAGCAATAAACGGAACAGATAGAAGAAGCACGACTGCAAGTAACCGAAGCAAGGAATAGCAGCAGGGTCAGATGTGCTGGTACCACAGCTATTTAAGAACTGTAGTAGAAGTTCGTTGATAGGATTAACCAAGGTGTTAGCTAGTTTTGATCCCCTCTGACTACTGTCAGTAGCTTATTGTTTTATATTTTAAAGAAAGTGAGAAATCTTCCTCTGGTAACCACAGACAAGTCAGTCTGACCAAAATAATGTCCAATTACCTAGGTCAGACAATCACTTGGCACCTCAGTGAAGCTAGGGAACAGCAAACCCGCAAAAACCAGGCTGGTTTCAGATCTGGTTATGGGTGTACCAAGCAGATATCCACACTCCGCAAAGTTCATGAACGCACACATATATCACAATCAGGACCAGACATTATTGCAATTTTAGACCACAATGTATTGAAGTGGCGTTGCTGATAACAACGGATATAAGTAGTATATATCGAGAGGGTGGCACTAATCATAGGGAATTACCGGCGATGGGTAAGGTTTCTGCCAAGAGCAAAGCAGGGGACAACACAGGCGTTTTACAGGGGATGCTGCTGATAAGAGTGTATGAAGAGCCGGTTAATAGCAAATCAAGACAGAAACGGAGAGGAAACGAAGACATTTGCAAATGGCTGCGTTAGTGCAAGGAGTACCGTATGTAACCACTACGATTCCAACTGTGCGAGTCGTTTTCTATTCTTACAGTATCACGTGGCTCCGTCGATCAAGGGTCTTATTATCTCATCTCTCACTGAAAGGCGTGTTGAGTAGGTTCATCACTCTGTTGGGGACAGTTTCCAAGCCACCATGAGCACGTTAGGGCCTGTATTGTGGTCCCAGGTGGGTTGTTTACATTGAGCGGTGTTCCTAATCTGTGCTGATCCGCTCAGTTTTTATATAATTTTTTATAGACGTGCTTATGGAGGTCTCTCTCGTCCTCGTATGACTTTACGAAGATGAGTTCGATCACAGGAAATCTCTTATAGCACCTAAAGCATACGGATGAAATAGACCTGATGGTTGAAAACGCTGAGAAGACTCAGAGTAATCCAGAAATCTTTAATGACAGTTTGAGAACGTTTGGAATGCGTCTGATACATCACTTAACAAAAGAAAGTTAGTTGGTTGACTGCGTTGATCACTTTACTTGCTTGGAAAGTCACTTCAGCCCTATTGGGTCAGTGAATGCGGAAACTGCTGTATAGATACAAAAGGCTCACTTTACTTTTATCAACTAACGCCATTTTATTGCCTATTAAGGGCCGAGTGTGATGCGCTGCAGTTTCCTGCATTCTACTGCACGGTTGTGAAACACTGATACAAAACGTTGAGGACACAAAGAGGCTTCGGAAGTTCGTAGCAAAGGCGATGTATTTTGGTGTCAGCAAGTAAAAGTCAGGCATAGAGTTTTAGGCGAAAAAGAGAAGTCGATTGACGAAGCTGTGAGTCGTTGTCAATTTAAACTGCCAAGACATACATCACGCATGATTAGTCACTGTGTATCACGTGGCACTATGGTAGCCGAAGTAGGTTTGAGTAAGAAGGAGAGTCAGTCTAATACTTAGCATCACTCTATTATGCACCTGACTATTGTTCTGAACTGCATAAAGTTGAGGTCCACATGACAACTCCAATCGGTGTTAGATGACTCTAGAGGATATGGGTAACAATCAAATGCACTAGCACAGATATATCTACACATAATCTTTGACCTAACTGTCATGCCTAACTCTATCGCTGTTTCCCTCCTCCTTCACTTTCTAAACACTTCTACCACTTTCAGTTATTTCTTTTTCATTTGTCTCCTTCGAGTTTTCGCTTTTTATCTTGATATGATGAGGTGAAGTTTGAAAGCTTTAATCGTTACCCAGTAATTCCACTTCCCACGATGATGTTGACTTACTGAGTGATTTCCCATTGGATTTAAAGTAAAAACCCTTGCTACTTAGAGAAAAATTACTTGATTTGTCAGAGAAAGTTTTGAAGACAAACCGATGCCATTATTGTGTTTCACTAGTTTTATTCATAGCAGCAAACCTATTCATGAGTAAATTTGAAGTCCTTTCAAACACTTACTGAAATCAAAAATTTAGCTTAACATGTTGATGATAAATTCATGGCTTTAAAACATAATATGTATAATGTAACCTTAAGTCAGTTGAACGCTAGATTTCCCAGTATGATGTTCAGATCAGAAAAAAAATGCATAGAGGTTAATTGCCCTTCTTTGTTAGTCTAATCAGGCAGAATAAAAAGGGACAGTTAAGCACAACCGTTTTCAGAAAAGTAACGCACTCGAATAAATAATTCCATTTCACTACATCACACCCCACATCGATGATAATCTTTGTTGTCTTCAGTCTTTTGTACAGGGTACACTCTGTAACAACAGAAAATGATGAAAATACAAAGCAAATGAAATGAGTGAACAGGATCCTTAAAAGGAACAATATTTCGGTCAATTTTACTTCTTATCTGAAATGCATAGTATGTATGATCAAATTTTGTTACTTTATCCTTATACAGATTAATCTGATATTGAATGAAGTCTAATTTTTGAAATCATTTTTGTCAGGATCTTGTCTACCAGAAGGTGATTCATTCTGCACCCAACGTGTTCCAAACAGTTTTTGTTCAATAAAGAAAAATGAATGTTTTTGCAAATTTGGTTATTATTCAGTTCAAGAAGATGAAGGGATTACATGCAAAACATGTAAGTTCAGCTTTCACATACTTCTATTGATTTGGGTATCAAACAAACTTCAATGTGATCAGTGAATTGGTTTACTCAAATCCATATTTAACTGGTTTTCTTTGGATCGCTGTAGTTACTTTCTAAAGAAGTTTGTTTTACACTTACAAATTATTATTATTAATATTATTTGTCCCTGAGGTTCCTAATGGAATATAAGGCTTTAGTAGCACGTCTCCAGTGCACTCTGTTCTCTGAAAACTTTCAAACCTGGTTGCACGACAGTTGCATGATCCAGTCCACTACAATCAGGAATATCATGGGTGATAGTAGACAGCCTTGTTTCACTCCTGTCTTCACTTCAAGAGCGTCACTGAGCTTCCATTCTGAATTACTTGGCATGTGGCATCCTCATATACTTGTTGAATGAGGTTGATAAGGGTTTGTGGTATTCCGTAGTGTTGAAGCAACTGCCTGGCAAATTACTTGTCGGTCGACGCTATCGAAGGCCTTTTCAAAGTCGATGAAGTTGAGATAGGGTTGAGTTGACTGCTATTCTACGCTCTATTCTATGATGTTGCATAGTGTGGCGTCGCAATTTGGTCCACACATGATTTGTTCTTCCTGAAGCCAGGTAGCCTGTTCGGGTTGTAGTTTTGAATCCAGCACATCCTTTAGTCTCTCCAGGATGATGCGGTTTAATATTTTGCGTGGGGTGAACAGGAGCGTGATTCCAGAAATATGGACCAACCTTAAAGACAGTTTTGCTCTATCGAAAGAAGCTAAAACCCTAAATGTACATGTTCCATTTGGTTGCTTTCAAAAGTTTGACAACGATTGAAGTGAATTATACAACGTGTAACTCTATATGACATTGTTGGTTGATACTTTTAATTTCCTATTGCTATACAGTGTCGAATTGGTGGATCTCTGTTGGTAGGTGGGTATCCCATATGAATGCCTGGATACTGGTAAATATTCACGATGTTATATTCATCTTGGTGACCTGCAGTGAAATCTAAGACGTATGTTTCGTCTTATATGGGGCTCGTCATCTGAATATACCCATAACCCCATGAGTGATGTTGTTTCCACCAAAGCGTTATCCACTAGGTCACTAGGGTACAAGAGCCATCACCTGTGCAACGAGTACCGTTTGTTGTTTCAGTAGTGGATCTCATGCCCTAGTCGCCTAGTGGATAACACTTCGGTATATGAAATGATGCTTATTGAGTTCGTGTCTCATTGGAAACAACATCAGTCACTGGTGTACAGGTATATCCAGCTGATGAGTCCTAAATATGATGAAACGTGTGTCCTGTATTTCGCTAGTTGTTACCAAGGTGAATACTCTATATCGAATTAAGTGATATATCACACAGTGAGTATGAACAATAACTTCTATTCGAATCGTCACCCAGTCAGTAATACTATTCGTCTGTTTGGAATATTAGATGAATGATCTGGTAATATGGACTTACGCTATATTATCGTGCCGACGGGTTCCTATGTGAATGTAGCGATACTCCCAGCATGACAACGGCAGAATAAATACATCGAAAAATAATCACTGTTATCTGCTGTACGACATTCATCAACAACTGCTTACGCTCGCTAGTTACTCAATATGGGGATCAGATGGTGAGGAAGAATAAACAACAAGGAACTCACTCTGGCAACGAACCATCCAAGAAGCCATTGCTCAACAAATATGTAGTGGAAGGAAGTGGAGATGGATTGGACTGAGCATACACTGAGAAGGCCGATTGGGGACATCACGCACCAGGCAAGGAAGGCACTTCAGTGGAACGCAGATGAGAATCGACGAGTTGGTTGTCGGAGATGAGGGTGATATGGAGGAGATGGTGTGAGGAGTAAATGAGAGGTTGTGGGGTGTTGTGGAGCCATGTTGAAAAGATTGTAGAGAAGAGAGTGTAGTGGAGACGTGCTACTGAAGCCCCATGTTCCACTAGCAACCTAAGGAACAAATAATAATGATAATAACCTGCTGTACGAGAGGTGGCTCTTGTAATTCAGCCGCCTATTGAATAGCTGTCTGGCGTATGCAGCTATGAACACTGCATACGAGTACCAGTAGGGACACGACCATTCCCTGGGGTGTAGGTACACTCAGATGACGTGTCCTAAATAGGACAAATCATGCGTCTTGTTTTCCACTTCTAATCACTAAGTAAACTTGATTAGATATGCTTTATTTCTGTTGTGAACCCTATGAGAACACAGAATGTATAAGATAGTTGACTATCTGAAGTTTCGCTGTTTTATTTAGCGTAAAGTTGACTACTCAAATGATTTTTATCAAATTCAGATCTCAGATGATTTTCACGCATTATTATATGATCCTGAGATTTATAACGAAGATATTAATAAATGCCAAAACCTGGAAGAAAACAATTTCAGTTTACTAAAGAAGGTCTCTGTGGACAGATTTTTATCAAAACTAGCGATTGTGAATCTAGAACATCGGTAATACGTGGAATTAAATGTTTTCATTAAACAGTGTGTTACTTTCCAGTAATAATGAGTAGTACCTAGCGGGAAATTCTGGAAACGTGTTTCGTCTTGATTAAAAGTTGTAAACCCGATGTACCCATCACTCAATGTGATTTTATTCAAAACTGATATCCGTGGTTTCAAACACATATGTTACTCACTAGGCTGTCGACTTGCGATGGGTACTCCTGAATAAAACGAAATATACAGTTTGGACTCCATTTACATCCACTCTCCATCTTCACTATGGACCTAAAATTATAAATAATATCAAGGCTTCCACGCCAGTAGTAGCTAATAGGTTAGGTACATTTGATAACAGGAAGCTACGATTTACAACATCAAAGTTCGATCGGCTTCTAAATCCAACCAAACTGAACTCAGGTAAAGATAAGAACCTGACAGATTCGAAGGTGGTATGCAATTTATCAAACAGACAACTAAATAATAAAGAAATAACATTACTTAGTAAAGGACTGAATTTTAATCTAACGAGAAGACTTTTGACAGCAATACAGCTGGCTCCTATTAAAGAACCCGTTATATAGCTGTGAACAAAAGAAGCTGATATGGTACGACAAAAAGGAAAAAGTATCATATCAAATTAGAAACCTGGTTCATCAAATCTCAGGTTCATATGAACCAATACCAACAAATAAGATCTCTAGCACATTAAACAAAATGAAAGCTGAAACATGCAATATACTTAGACAGTTAAAACCAAAACTGGGGAATGCAACATGGTTTTCGTTAGCCACCAAAACAAATTCAGCCACCAGATTTTATGGCAGACCAAAAATACACAGAACCGATATCCCGCTTAGATCAGTTGTAGACTTTACTAATTCAGTAACATATCGTCTGTCAAAATATTTACCAAATTATTGAAACCATTGCAACATGACATTACTTCTAACATTAGAAACTAGGAAGAATTCAAAATTAAACTAATGGATAACATCAGTTGGAGGAAAAAAGGAAACCTGGGAGCACTGGATAGCTGCTTCGTTCTAGTATGGGACTGCTCAGTAGTGCAAAGCCACGACCCCACCAGGGATCGAACACAGGACCTTCAGGTTCCGTGGCCAGCATGTTACCACTGAGCTAGCCACTGGATCAGAATCCAATGGCCCATATTTCCAACTTTTGTTAGCACACGATATAGCGCAACCGCCACCCAATGTCATCGTTGAGTAACTGTAGTCACGACCATCACGCTTTGCTGGACATACTAGAACGAAAAAGCTGTCCAGTGCTCCGAGGATTACTTTGTTCCTTCTGAGGAGTTTCGCGGTAGGACGAAATAGGTATCCAGTGACCCTGAGGTTTTCAATAGCTCTTCAACTGGTTCCAGTCCATAATATATGCTAATTTCCAAATAAAGTCCTCATAAACCTCAAAAGAAATCTTCTTAACAGCTTCAATGAAGCTAATGTACAGTTTTGAGTTGTCCGTTATAATTCTTTTGATTACATAAAAACTAGAGACGGTAAGCTATCTGACTGCAGATGGTTCTATCAAAAAATTTTGTGGGAACTTGTTTATAGGGTGAGCAGTTTATTGTGAACTCAAACAGTATTGAACTTCATACTTTGAAAGAATAGACTTCTTACTAAATGTATGATAACTTGTGACTGCTTCTCCTTGAATGGCGGTTTTTTAATCACTTCTATGTCTTATAATTCAATTTAGTGTCATATATAGTAAAGCAGAGAAAGAGCAGTTAGTGGCGATACGAAGAAGGAGGAATTCATTCGAATGAAAAGAACTTCAGTTGATTATGACTAGAAGTAAAATGTCTGGGTCATCAGTGATTTTCCCCCAGAACAAACAGCATGAGACGACAACGGGACATCACAGGAAGTTATAAATAACTGCGTTTCTTTCATTCATATGACAGTCAGGTAAGAAAATGAGTGGTCGAAGTGACATTCAGACCTGATTAGAGGTTGATCCACATAACTTCATCTTTAGACAGGCAGACTGGTTGCTTGAAGGCAGTTGACTAGGAACTTAATTCTGTGTGAGTGAAGCTTGCATATTTGCACACTGAAGTCTGTTTACCCTCCACGTTTGCCGGAAGAGAAAGCATCTATTCAGTAGTATTGTGCAAACAGCCATAAACTTAGAGGAATTGTTTAACTTGAAATAGTTTACTCAATACTCATAGATTTCGAAAAAAACAGCTGAAATTCACTCAGCTACCACTTGGGATTTAGTGCAGTAGACAATCAGTCATACATATTGCTTCATGCCAATAGTATCTCCTGCTTATTCATGCCGCTGTACGTTGAGGGGGTGTTTAAACTCATGTCCCATAGATGGGAAATTGAGTACCTAGTCAAATGAGCCACAATTCCACAACTCATAAATTTATTACTCTAATTCTTGGAATCTCCGTGGAAGGAATTATGTCTTTATTTCTCTACAGTACGAAATTCTGTTGTCTATTGATTTCCTATTTTTGCAGATCTAATAAAGATCGCTTTGATCCATCTTCTTCAACA